CGGCGAAACCTTTGGGAATATACCACGTCTACGGTTTAACTTTGGAAATGATTATGCAGACAATGGACCCCGGACTAGATGCGTTCTAATAAGTCTTCCTAACAATATGACAATGTTGCGAAAACAAGGTCAAACAACCTCTATAAAACACTCTAGTTTAAGAAGAAAACCAGTTTTGCACTTTAACTCAAAAGCTTTTACTACTAAAAATTAACTTCACTTGTTAAATCTGAAAGTCTTACAGTTTGATTTGTAGTAATATTATAGTTGGAGATAATTGAGGAATCGAATCTATGTCGGAAAAGTCGCATAAAGTCGAAAAATAAAATGATAAAAGCTGGACATAGAAAACTATCTTATTTAACCTTCCGGTTGATTTTATATAAGCTAGCTCCCGAAAGGATTGCAAGGATGAAGCAGTATTTTCATTGCCGTTTATTAGTTTGAATTGTCCCATGTTCTTTCAAGCATTATTTTCTATAAAAATTAGAAGTATAAAAGAATAATTAAAGAAAAAAACCGCTTTTCCTTATGAAATTTACCTGTACTCGTCTGCGGAATGGTAAGTAGCAGTTCCTCCGGCATGCTTAACAGATGCCCAACTGTGCCTGAATTCGCCCACTCCACAGCCATTTTGGCCATTAGCAAAAGCACTGGTCCGGGTGGCACCTGGTCGACAGGAAATTGATTACAAAGCCGATTAACAAGGTCGTTAACGGACTCAAAGCCGAATAGGAGACTAAAATATAAGTTCGGATAAAAAATTGAAATAAATAAATACATCGAAATAGATTTGAAAAATCAAAGCCAGCTCAGCCAGCTATCTACAGTCAAATTCTAACAGTTAAATCTGCTGTATCTTGTGGACTGGATTACATACTCATAGTGCCAGAGAATCACATGCACGAAATGAGGGGAAAATAAGGCTTTTTTAACTTTGCATATAAAATGGTACAAAAAAAGAAGTATAAATCGAAGTTCACTGCAATAGCATGATAGATGATGATGTGGAAACTATCAACAAACATTAATTGACAATAAACCCACCAGTGGATTGGCATGTTAGGTAATGAGAGTTGATCTTCGAACAGGAAATTGGAGTGAATGCTTGTTTTTTCAATGAATTTTTCCTAGAACTCTATCAAAGTTTAGCTCCCACTCAATGTTGATTGCAGTTGTAAGTATCCGGCCAAAAATCCATTTTTTTGGATTATAAGGCAGCAAAGGCATTCAATGAATGAAGAGAAAAGGAAAATTTTTTTCTATTTTTTACTATAATAAACCTATTGGCAGCATGAACAAATATTCGGAGGCATGAGAGACTTTCGACCAGATATTGGAGATGGGAGGTGGAATATATTGAAGAGTTTGCATAGAATAAAGTCCAATGAGCTAAGTAGCGTAAATATACAAGCGTTCTTGTATAGAGGTAGTTGACGGAAGCGCAATAGAGGGTAGGGGTAGAAACCAGGCAAGCAATACGGTGATGCAACACGGAATAGGCACCAAGATCAAATGGCACATAAATCAATAACTCAAGATGCGACATTTGGGAAGCCCTTTTGTTATTACTGAGAAAATAGTCCTAATATCATAGAGGCACACGTAACTACATGGTTGTTGAAGAAATTATGTGAGTGCAAGATGACCGGCATCCCGAAAAAGTTGGGCTCCTGGAGATCTAGTTTAGTAGAGATTACGAAATTGCAATGAAGGACCTTAATAGTATAAGCTAAACATAAAAACTTTCTATGGACAAGCTGTTTAATCAAAACCCTGATGAAGAAGCGAGATATGGAGCTGAGATGGAACGCAGAGCGGCTCGCCAGAATAGCCAATTGTGATGGTATAATAGTGATGTTAATTCAGCGAAGTCTTCTTACTTTGATACTTTGTGGTATATAAATGTAGGTTTCTGATTGTTTTTGGATGGTTAATTTGGCTTTGTATGAGGAAACGAAATATGGTGACTTCAAGCGTAGGTAAGAGTGTGGCTTTTCAAGTAAGGACGCATGAGCCAGGTAAGAGGAAAGGCGAAAGTAGTCACAAGAGTTCATGCTAAAGCCTAGAAATTAAAAGTCATAGTGTGGAACAAGTAAGCTGTTTGATATGAGATGGAAGAAAGAAAGCCTGTCGCAAGATGTAGTACATACAGTACATTTAGTTGAATGCTGGAGTATCCTCCATTCAGTTTGAAAGACAATGTAAGGGATTGGTAAATTGACTGTGTGAATTACTTATAGCTATCATTTTTTTATTGTTCGATGAACATCTCGATTCATCTTTATGCATCCTCGCAGAATCAGTGCCGGAATTGAGT